CGTACACATTGTTCCCTCATGTGAGGACGATGAAGTGAGCCTTCTTAATAGATTCGTTTGGTGAGGTCTAGCGAAGGTAGAGAACTTGGACGCATTGTGACTTTTGTAAACATGAAATTGTTCTCTGACTATGTTCTTTTTAGGCCTTGTTAGAATCTAATAGGTGTAAAATTTCCATCAAATGGTTAAACATAACTCTTGGAAACACTATTTTCATAGAGAAAATTACATCATCATATTCAAAGAAACATAAGTGCAAATGTCAAGAATGTAACAAATGGTACACAAAAGCCTAAACGAGGAATTCTAGGAGAGAATAAAATTTCTCGCTATCTAATCCCACACGAAGTGACATGCTCGACTATCTGTTAGGCCCGGAACCCTAATCCTGCGCACAAGCAAGAAAGAGTTAGGAGCAAACATTCAGAATGTGCCTAGAAAACATCCCGCCAAAGGCAAACGTTTTTTAGAGTTTCCGTGTACGTTTTTCAAACGATTGTCAAACGTACGATTGGCCGCCGCGAATGTCAGATGATATTCAGACACACACATTTTTGTGATGACTGAGTCCAGTCAAGCATGCGCCTAGAAAGCTTAACATCACATACTTTCCAGCCATGCAAATGACATCTTGGACTCTACACAGGCCACTTGTCGGGCTGAAGAATTTTGAGTCCAGGAAGTCCAAGTTCGGCCTTTGGTAGTTCACATACCTCCTACCTATGGCCAGTGCAAATTCTCTCTATGGGCTCAAATGGTCCACTGTCTATCACTCATTTGTGTTGCAGACTGGATGCATTGTGAGAGCCTTGCCATATCCTGATACACGCTCTCATCTGACATACTTACTCTCATATATTCTCATATCTCACACTCATTGGTGCATGCAGAAACTCCTTTTCATGACATTCCTCTCTTGACAAGCCGGCAACAGGCAAGCCACACGAGCTTGTGGCTCCCCTCGGCTACACTTCATGGATAGGATCGCTGGCACTAAAAAACTGGCAGGACCAACCTTCGGCTCATGACAAGCTGGCCACTGGATGGCCATCATACCATGATGGTCACCCACGGCTCATCACGAATTGGTTACAGGCCATTGCTCATGCGTTGCTCAGGCTCATCTCTGCATATGCCCGAGTCTACATGATCACACTCATGTGTGCATGCTCCCACCACTCATACTCACAGATAGGTTAGCCTGTCCAAGGCACTAATGGAATCAGGAATGGACCCAGTTAAGCCATCGTCATACAGATTCCTGGTGCGCAGTGGAATGGAATGGGTGGAGAGCATTATAAATCATATGAGGAAATGGGATCAATAATGATTGGTGACTCCATCAAGGTGGTTTGTGTACTATTTGGGAAGAGGTTCGTGCAGCCCACCACATGTTGTCCACCTGTGCCTACATGCATGGAGATGATGGAAACCTGAGAGGTGCATTAGGGTAGCGCTTTTCTGGACTGAACGCCTTTCAATATGATCCACACAACGGAAACGGAGGGAAACGGAGAAGGGAGGGGGTTAATTAATGTAGGTTAGACAGAAGTAACACCTTGTACGGCTTGCAAATGTCTGACTTCCATTTCTGCGTTTTCATATGGACGGTTTGGTTCTGCGGTGACATTTGAAAGGAGAGCATTTGCTTTTGATAAATGGCACTGGCATTGTAAGTCTCGTCTCTACTTCTCCCTTGACAGTCTCCAACATAACTGCTTTCCCGCATAAACCTGCTGCAGTTACAACTGTTGCCATGCCCCTCGCCATGTCAACTATTTCCCTGACCTGAGCATGATAGAACTACTAGACATGTCCCTATCCTTCTCTCTCATTCCCTCTATAGATCCCAAAGTCTCAAACTATATAAAACATAGCAATATTAGAACATTAGATGTGAGGTTATTCCAGACTTTTAAGGGAGTATGTTTCTGAATCTTGTAAATTGAGCACGTGGAGGGACATGGTCGGGGCGATTCCAAGGGTTTAACAGATCAGATAGTGGGTTTGGATGAGAGGAGGACCGGGATGAATGGTTCAAGAAGCAAGGGACTGCAAGTGAAGAAAATCAAAACAACAAAAGGCGTCCAGGGAATGCATGGCCAGCAAGAGTTAACACGCCGAAGTGCAAATACAGAGCATGCGGAATGGTGGAGAGAGGAAACAGAGGACAGCAAAAGTTGGGGCGCACATGGGGATGCAAGACCAGCTAGAGTTTGGTGCTCTCACATGCTGGTCACCATGCCTTGGGCATCGCAGAACACACCGTATGCCAAGCTGCAGTCCCCCCCAGTCACCCACCCTGAGATTCTCCGGACCCACGCTTGCTGCAAGTCCACCAGGACTTGGACTGGCCGCAGATGGTGGGGGAAAGGGGGGCAGGAGGGCAAGAGAATGATAGAAGGTTGTGTCGCACCCTTCTCATCTCTCCCTTCACACTCATAAGCCGTGCCACACGAATGCAGAATGAACACATGTGATGGTGAAGTACCCAGAACCGTGACTCGGAAATTGAAAATGCTAAGCAATAAGCATTATGCGCACAGGAGCATGGGCATGACGTGATCACTGATTCATAGAAGGTGTGAACACGAGAGGAGGTCAAATAGGAGGCGAGTCATCACAAAAATCATATGACCAGAAACCTATTGTAAAAAGTTGTGGTGAAGTATTTTCAAATGCTTTTAAAACGTAGGGGCCAAAACGCTTTTCGGTGAAAGTATAAACATTTTTTCGAATGCTTTGTCGAATGCTTTGCAGGTGATGACATGTTTGTATTACCTTCAGATTAGGGTCTGTCTGAGTTTCTTCGGAGATGTATAAGACTTCGTTCGGAGAGTTCAGGGAGATTACTTTCCACTCATATACTCTTTAGCAGAGCTTAGGACCAAAGTTCAAGAAGATTGTATATGAACCTTTATCAAGTGATTCTCGTTGTTTGATGGAAGGTCTATTAGCCATTCTTAGGTGTACACGCACATCATGAATGCATTGCTCAATGATTATTAATCTCATTACAGAGTTGGCTTGGCACACAAAACAGCTGCCTAAACACGCGTTGCGTAGTCCTGCTAGGGTGGATTAATCTGCACCATCCTCCTACCTACTTCGCAAGCCATCATCGGATGCAGCCCCGCCCCATCTCTCCAGCTCTTGGCCTAGAGAGTTCTTGACTACAGATACTGCTCCATCTAATGCTAACCTGCACGGCTACACACTTCCTGTCTCCTCTCTTGCTTATACTCCTGTCCCCTTGCTGTCTCCACGCTGCTGCCCCCTATGCGGTCTCCTCTCATGCCTGCTCCTGCTGCTCCACATTGGGCCTCTCCTGGAACTCCCCTCTTACCTCCCGGCCTCCCCCCCCTGATGCTACTCATGCTGCCTCCACTGCTCCTCCACTACTGCCTCACATGCTGCCTCCACTGCTCCTCCGCCACCCAGGCAACCTGCAAAACGGTCGCATATTAAATATGCACTCCTCCCCTACTGCCACGGGATGTTGCCTCCCCCCTGCTGCCATTCAATGTTGCCTCCCAAGCTGCCTCCCTTTGTTGTCTCCCCTGCTGCCATTCTAGTTGCCTCCCATGCTGCCTCTCTCTGTTGCCTACCCTGCTGCTGTTCAATGTTGCCTCCCCTACCGCCTCCCTTTGTTGCCTCCCCTGCCCCTTTGTTGCCTCCCCTGCTGCCATTCTATGTTGCCTCCCATGCTGCCTCTCTCTGTTGTCTCGCCTGCTGCCATTCTATGTTGCCTCCCCTACTCCCTCTGTCTGTTGCCTACCCTGCTGCTATTTAATGTTGCCTCCCCTGCTGCCTCCCTTTGTTGCCTCCCCTGCTGCCATTCTATGTTGCCTCCCATTCTGCCTCTCTGTTGCCTCCCCTGCTGTCATTCTATGTTGCCTTCCCTGCTCCCTCTCCCTGTTGCCTCCCGTGGTGCCTTTCTCTGTTGCCTCCCCTGCTGTCATTCTATGTTGCCTTCCCTGCTCCCTCTCCCTGTTGCCTCCCCTGCTGCCTTTCCTTGTTGACTCTCGGCTTCTTACCCTTGTTGCCTATCCTGATGCCTTTCCTTTATCCATACCCGTTAAACGCCCCTGCTCTCCCCGTTAACCGATACCCTCCTGCCTCACCCGATGCCTCTCCAACTTCCTCCACTGCCACCCGTCCTGCTTGCCCCCTTGTCTGCCTGCACATCACTTTCCCCTCCTGCCACCCATGTTTTTGCCTCTCTTGTGCCTTCTGCTCCCTCTCAACTCCTTCCCCCCCTGCTCATCATCCTCCTCTTCCTCTTCCTCCTCTTCATCCTCCTCCTCATCCTCCTCATCCTCATCCTCCTCCTCCTCTTCCTCCTCTTCCTCCTCTTGCTCCTCCTCCTCCTTCTCACTGAAATCCTCTTGCTCCTCCTCCTCCTCCTCCTCCTCCTCGTTATCAGCCTGAGCCGTCCCCCGGAACGCCTGAAACCCGGACTCATGTACATAGAGCCCACGCGTGCCCCACTTGAAGCCCTGCAACTCTGCGTTGTACACGGGGGTGTGGCGTGTAAAGTGATCCCTTACAATCCTCCGCACCCCCCGAGTCAAACTCCTCATCCATCTAGTGTTTTTCCTGTGGGAGTTCGGCAGGTTCATGTCGGTCTCCTTGAAGCGCGCCAAGCCTTGATCAATCTGAAACGGGTTTGGATTACAGGGACCAGCAGCAAGGCAGAGTTGCATGTTACCGGTGTTAGCCCCCAAGGGTCCCAAGTCGTTCACGTGCAATAGAAAAGATTGAGCATTAGGGCAAGTACATGTGATTTACAAAACCAGTCTCACCACCATGAGTGACCAGGCTATGTGGTACGTCTTTAGGGCCAGCCTGCGCCCAACAGCGTAATCCCGAAATGATGCCTTCACCGCATCCACAAACCGGGCGTTGGCAAAAGGGAGCCCGGATCTGTCGTTCCCCCACGAGCTGACCCGCTCATTCCCTCCTACAAGGAGGCACAACCATGTGAGGAAGCACGGGGTATGTTTTATCATCAAGTAGTGGGGCTGGCAGTGTTTGGAGGTATGTTTGGGCATCGTAAGAAGGGGCAGGCCGGGCAGAGGGGTTTGGGTGAGGATCCTGGGGTGGGGCAGGCAGGGCAGAGGGGTTCGGGTTTAGGATCCTGAGGTGGGGCAGGCAGGGCAGAGGGGTTTGGGTGAGGATCCTGAGGTGGGGCAGGCAGGGCAGAGGGGTTTGGGTTTAGGATCCTGAGGTGGGGCAGGCAGGGAAGAGGGGTTTGGGTGAGGATCCTGAGGTGGGGCAGGCCGGGCAGAGGGGTTTGGGTGAGGATCCTGAGGTGGGGCAGGCAGGGCAGAGGGGTTTGGGTGAGGATCCTGAGGTGGGGCAGGCAGGGCAGAGGGGTTTGGGTGAGGATCCTGAGGTGGGGCAGGCAGGGCAGAGGGGTTTGGGTTTAGGATCCTGAGGTGGGGCAGGCAGGGCAGAGGGGTTTGGGTGAGGATCCTGAGGTGGGGCAGGCAGGGCAGAGGGGTTTGGGCGAGGAACCTGAGGTGGGGCAGGCAGGGCAGAGGGGTTTGGGTGAGGATCCTGAGGTGGGGCAGGCAGGGCAGAGGGGTTTGGGTTTAGGGTCCTGAGGTGGGGCAGGCAGGGCAGAGGGGTTTGGGTGAGGATCCTGAGGTGGGGCAGGCAGGGCAGAGGGGTTTGGGTTTAGGGTCCTGAGGTGGGGCAGGCAGGGCAGAGGGGTTTGGGTGAGGATCCTGAGGTGGGGCAGGCAGGGCAGAGGGGTTTGGGTTTAGGGTCCTGAGGTGGGGCAGGCAGGGCAGAGGGGTTTGGGTGAGGATCCTGAGGTGGGGCAGGCAGGGCAGAGGGGTTTGGGTTTAGGATCCTGAGGTGGGGCAGGCAGGGCAGATGGGTTTGGGTGAGGATCCTGAGGTGGGGCAGGCAGGGCAGAGGGGTTTGGGTTTAGGATCCTGAGGTGGGGCAGGCAGGGCAGAGGGGTTTGTGTTTAGGATCCTGAGGTGGGGCAGGCAGGGCAGATGGGTTTGGGTGAGGATCCTGAGGTGGGGCAGGCAGGGCAGAGGGGTTTGGGTTTAGGATCCTGAGGTGGGGCAGGCAGGGCAGAGGGGTTTGGGTTTAGGGTCCTGAGGTGGGGCAGGCAGGGCAGAGGGGTTTGGGTGAGGATCCTGAGGTGGGGCAGGCAGGGCAGAGGGGTTTGGGTGAGGATCCTGAGGTGGGGCAGGCAGGGCAGAGGGGTTTGGGTGAGGATCCTGAGGTGGGGCAGGCAGGGCAGAGGGGTTTGGGTGAGGATCCTGAGGTGGGGCAGGCAGGGCAGAGGGGTTTGGGTTTAGGATCCTGAGGTGGGGCAGGCAGGGCAGAGGGGTTTGGGTGAGGATCCTGAGGTGGGGCAGGCAGGGCAGAGGGGTTTGGGCGAGGAACCTGAGGTGGGGCAGGCAGGGCAGAGGGGTTTGGGTGAGGATCCTGAGGTGGGGCAGGCAGGGCAGAGGGGTTTGGGTTTAGGGTCCTGAGGTGGGGCAGGCAGGGCAGAGGGGTTTGGGTGAGGATCCTGAGGTGGGGCAGGCAGGGCAGAGGGGTTTGGGTTTAGGGTCCTGAGGTGGGGCAGGCAGGGCAGAGGGGTTTGGGTGAGGATCCTGAGGTGGGGCAGGCAGGGCAGAGGGGTTTGGGTTTAGGGTCCTGAGGTGGGGCAGGCAGGGCAGAGGGGTTTGGGTGAGGATCCTGAGGTGGGGCAGGCAGGGCAGAGGGGTTTGGGTTTAGGATCCTGAGGTGGGGCAGGCAGGGCAGATGGGTTTGGGTGAGGATCCTGAGGTGGGGCAGGCAGGGCAGAGGGGTTTGGGTTTAGGATCCTGAGGTGGGGCAGGCAGGGCAGAGGGGTTTGTGTTTAGGATCCTGAGGTGGGGCAGGCAGGGCAGATGGGTTTGGGTGAGGATCCTGAGGTGGGGCAGGCAGGGCAGAGGGGTTTGGGTTTAGGATCCTGAGGTGGGGCAGGCAGGGCAGAGGGGTTTGTGTTTAGGATCCTGAGGTGGGGCAGGCAGGGCAGAGGGGTTTGGGTGAGGATCCTGAGGTGGGGCAGGCAGGGCAGAGGGGTTTGGGTGAGGATCCTGAGGTGGGGCAGGCAGGGCAGAGGGGTTTGGGTGAGGATCCTGAGGTGGGGCAGGCAGGGCAGAGGGGTTTGGGTTTAGGATCCTGAGGTGGGGCAGGCAGGGCAGAGGGGTTTGGGTGAGGATCCTGAGGTGGGGCAGGCAGGGCAGAGGGGTTTGGGCGAGGAACCTGAGGTGGGGCAGGCAGGGCAGAGGGGTTTGGGTGAGGATCCTGAGGTGGGGCAGGCAGGGCAGAGGGGTTTGGGTTTAGGGTCCTGAGGTGGGGCAGGCAGGGCAGAGGGGTTTGGGTGAGGATCCTGAGGTGGGGCAGGCAGGGCAGAGGGGTTTGGGTTTAGGGTCCTGAGGTGGGGCAGGCAGGGCAGAGGGGTTTGGGTGAGGATCCTGAGGTGGGGCAGGCAGGGCAGAGGGGTTTGGGTTTAGGGTCCTGAGGTGGGGCAGGCAGGGCAGAGGGGTTTGGGTGAGGATCCTGAGGTGGGGCAGGCAGGGCAGAGGGGTTTGGGTTTAGGATCCTGAGGTGGGGCAGGCAGGGCAGATGGGTTTGGGTGAGGATCCTGAGGTGGGGCAGGCAGGGCAGAGGGGTTTGGGTTTAGGATCCTGAGGTGGGGCAGGCAGGGCAGAGGGGTTTGTGTTTAGGATCCTGAGGTGGGGCAGGCAGGGCAGATGGGTTTGGGTAAGGATCCTGAGGTGGGGCAGGCAGGGCAGAGGGGTTTGGGTTTAGGATCCTGAGGTGGGGCAGGCAGGGCAGAGGGGTTTGGGTTTAGGGTCCTGAGGTGGGGCAGGCAGGGCAGAGGGGTTTGGGTGAGGATCCTGAGGTGGGGCAGGCAGGGCAGAGGGGTTTGGGTGAGGATCCTGAGGTGGGGCAGGCAGGGCAGAGGGGTTTGGGTGAGGATCCTGAGGTGGGGCAGGCAGGGCAGAGGGGTTTGGGTGAGGATCCTGAGGTGGGGCAGGCAGGGCAGAGGGGTTTGGGTGAGGATCCTGAGGTGGGGCAGGCAGGGCAGAGGGGTTTGGGCGAGGAACCTGAGGTGGGGCAGGCAGGGCAGAGGGGTTTGGGTGAGGATCCTGAGGTGGGGCAGGCAGGGCAGAGGGGTTTGGGTTTAGGGTCCTGAGGTGGGGCAGGCAGGGCAGAGGGGTTTGGGTGAGGATCCTGAGGTGGGGCAGGCAGGGCAGAGGGGTTTGGGTTTAGGGTCCTGAGGTGGGGCAGGCAGGGCAGAGGGGTTTGGGTGAGGATCCTGAGGTGGGGCAGGCAGGGCAGAGGGGTTTGGGTTTAGGGTCCTGAGGTGGGGCAGGCAGGGCAGAGGGGTTTGGGTGAGGATCCTGAGGTGGGGCAGGCAGGGCAGAGGGGTTTGGGTTTAGGATCCTGAGGTGGGGCAGGCAGGGCAGATGGGTTTGGGTGAGGATCCTGAGGTGGGGCAGGCAGGGCAGAGGGGTTTGGGTTTAGGATCCTGAGGTGGGGCAGGCAGGGCAGAGGGGTTTGTGTTTAGGATCCTGAGGTGGGGCAGGCAGGGCAGATGGGTTTGGGTGAGGATCCTGAGGTGGGGCAGGCAGGGCAGAGGGGTTTGGGTTTAGGATCCTGAGGTGGGGCAGGCAGGGCAGAGGGGTTTGGGTTTAGGGTCCTGAGGTGGGGCAGGCAGGGCAGAGGGGTTTGGGTGAGGATCCTGAGGTGGGGCAGGCAGGGCAGAGGGGTTTGGGTTTAGGATCCTGAGGTGGGGCAGGCAGGGCAGAGGGGTTTGGGTTTGGGATCCTGAGGTGGGGCAGGCAGGGCAGAGGGGTTTGGGTGAGGATCCTGAGGTGGGGCAGGCAGGGCAGAGGGGTTTGAGTGAGGATCCTGAGGTGGGGCAGGCAGGGCAGAGGGGTTTGAGTGAGGATCCTGAGGTGGGGCAGGCAGGGCAGAGGGGTTGGGGTTTAGGATCCTGAGGTGGGGCAGGCAGGGCAGAGGGGTTTGGGTGAGGATCCTGAGGTGGGGCAGGCAGGGCAGAGGGGTTTGGGTGAGGATCCTGAGGTGGGGCAGGCAGGGCAGAGGGGTTTGGGTTTAGGATCCTGAGGTGGGGCAGGCAGGGCAGAGGGGTTTGAGTGAGGATCCTGAGGTGGGGCAGGCAGGGCAGAGGGGTTTGGGTGAGGATCCTGAGGTGGGGCAGGCAGGGCAGAAGAGTTTGGGTTTACGATCCTGAGGTGGGGCAGGCAGGGCAGAGGGGTTTGGGCGAGGAACCTGCGGTGGGGAATGCAGGGCAGACGGGTTTGTGACCATGACATGATGGGGCCAGGTTTAGGAAATAAAAGTGCTATCTGAAAAGACAAAGGGAATGAGCAACGCGACAAAACCAACGTAGTTGCAGCGGGATAGCTGATTGTCAAGACTCACTCGGTTTGTATTTTCGCCACAACCTCCACTTCCTCTTCGTGCTCAGCTTGATCTGCGATGCACGCAGTCCCTCCACCTTCACTCCAAACTTCTCGAGCACACCGCGCTTGACTTGAAATCCCCGTTCATTCTTCCATGCTGTCCACACACGTTTAAAGACGGCAACGACGTTCTGATCCTTCATTGTCTCTTTCAGCTGCATGTAAGAAATGATGTGGGTCTCACTGATGACGCCATACAGAACCTGTAGTCGCTGGTCAAATGATGGGTACCAGTCAACCGCATGGTCCGGCGCTTCCATGCACATCCGGTCCCGCGCCTCAACAAAATGAAGCTACAATGGACGGGATGGTAGGGCAAGAAGAAATCAGTGGCGAGGGGCAAGCATATCAAATGTGGGGCAGGCAGAGGGGGTTATAATTAACAACCATGACAATGTGGGGCTGGCAAGGGGGTTACGAATGAGCAAGAACAGACGTAGTGCAGGCAGAGGGGGTTTGGAACGACATGCTGGACAATGTGGGGCTAGCAAGGGGGGTTAACATGAGCATGAATAGCAAGATGCTAGCAGGGGGTTACGAATGAGCATGAAAGCAACGCAGAGTGCCCCTCACACTCACCCTCAGTTTCTCGAGAGTGGGCATTCCATGCCTGCGCCGAATGGGCTGGCCCTCTGTCGGGGTGCTCTCATCAGCTACCTCGGGACTGAGGCCCCCAGATGATGGGTCGCTCGCCAAAGGTGCCAGAGGAGGAACTTGGGAAGGGGGTCCGAGGTTTTTGACGCCATTGCAAGCTGGTTTTGCCTTGAGGGTTGCTAGTTCGCTGTTTGCTAGCTCAAGCTCTCGCGTGAGCTGCTCCACCGTCTTGGGGCGAGCCGGATTGAGACGACCAGATGCACCGGGCGTGCACATGCTCTCACCCCTCCCCTCGTTCGTGTGTGGATCCCTTTTCCAGGTGTAGTCGTCGCCCCTTTCGTCACGTTCATCGTACGGAGAGCCAGCCATAACTCCGCCACAATCACCCAATGTGTTTGCCCACATCCCACCTGCCACACCGTCGTTTGCTGCTGCGGCCGTTGGGTCAGCGTACCGTTTGGGCTTAAAGTCGTCTTTATCAAGATCCGGTGAATCCCGTGTCTCGAGACGCTTCGCAAGTGGGTCTTTTCCCTCCTTGTTATGACGCCATGACCCTGTAGGCAACGGGTCTGCTCCTTTCCCAGCATTTAGTGATGGCCCTCTGAGAGCAGCATAAGGGTCCTCGCGATCGTCACGCCTCCTTCGGGTCTGGTCTTTACGATCAAGATATCCAGTAGGAGCAGCAGTTGCTTTCACTCCCATCTCCGCATAGAATTCAGGCTCGGGCTTCACTTTGGGGCGCACACGGACAACCTGGGAAACCACACGCCGGCGACCGTTGTTGCCATGCGATTTCCCACGACTGTCGCGCCCCTTACGGCCCTTGTCCCGACCCTTGTCACGGTTCCTCTTAGGAATGCCCTTCTTGGCCTTCCGATCACGCCCCTTTCTCTTGGGACGCACCTCATCCGCCTCCTCGCTTTCCGGCTCCAGATCTTGGTCCTCACTCTCCTCCTCCTCCTCCTCCTCCTCCTCCTCCTCCTCCTCCTCCTCCTCCTCCTCCTCCTCCTCGTCCCCATATTCGCTGCCAGATGAACTACCAGATTCCCCGTCGCTGGATCCCTCCTCGGAACCGGACGACGATCTGGGTGAAGCGTACCGTTTCCGTCCCTGGCGAGCCTTCCTCATTTTTCTGTCGTGACCGCCCGTGTCAACCACCTTGCGCCGCTTGTACGTGACTTCAGCCCCTCGTCCCTTACGCTCCCCATCACTGTCGCCCTTAGTGCTTACAGCCCCTCGTCCCTTACGCTCCCTATCACTGTCGCCCTTAGTGCTTACAGCCCCTCGTCCCTTACGCTCCCCATCACTGTCGCCCTTAGTGCTTACAGCCCCTCGTCCCTTACGCTCCCCATCACTGTCGCCCTTAGCGCCTACAGCCCCTCGTCCCTTACGCTCCCCATCACTGTCGCCCTTAGCGCCTACAGCCCCTCGTCCCTTGCGCTCCCCATCACTGTCGCCCTTATCGCCTACAGCCCCTCGTCCCTTACGCTCCCCATCACTGTCGCCCTTAGCGCCTACAGCCCCTCGTCCCTTACGCTCCCCATCACTGTCGCCCTTAGCGCCTACAGCCCCTCGTCCCTTGCGCTCCCCATCACTGTCGCCCTTAGCGCCTACAGCCCCTCGTCCCTTGCGCTCCCCATCACTGTCGCCCTTAGCGCCTACAGCCCCTCGTCCCTTACCCTCCCCGTCTTTGGCAGGCCCAGACTGTAGCACGTCGTCGCCACCGGCCAATGCCACCTTATCCTGACGATGGAAAGAACTGCCCCTCTCCACCGCACTCCTCCCCTTCCTGCGCTTTGCTCTCGGACGGCAGTGACCCTTCTCTTCTGACCCGGCTGTGAAAAGCATAAAAAGAGAAAATGAGTAGTCACATGTGACGTAAGCGGGATACGCGGTAACAACCTATAGGCATCCCAGAAATTACGCAAGGAGCCATATAATTGCTGGTGGGATCCGGTGAACACGTACCTTTCTGGCCTATTTTGGGGTTGCATTCTTCCAACTTCTTGATACGCCGTTCCCTCCGTTTCGGGGGCGATGAAATAGCCTTGTTTGCGTATGACTCCACATCGCCGTCACGGCTGGAGTCGTTTTCAGATGAAGAATCGCCCCCTGACTTGCTGTCGTTGCAAGCTTTGGACGGATGTCTCCTACGATACTCGTTGACGACTTGGGCCGTTTTCTCTGGTGTGACTACCTCCATATATCTCTTCTCATCTGGCGATTTGGTAGAACTAGGCAACTCAACAACCCCTACTTGCGCATTAAGGGTTTGAGCTTGAACTGTTGGATCTAGGTTCACACCCATGACGGGCGTGTTACGGAAGTTAGGAATTAGATAGTGACTTGACTCACCAGCGGATACTAGCATTAAATGTCAGTTGGTTGCTGAGGTCCGAGTACCAGACACGGTGGTGGAGCAGGTGTACGTGATCCAACCACCACGTATGAGCAGCACCAGGCTGATGAGGGTTTGAACATGCGGTTTAGAGAAGCACGATGGTCCTTCGAGATCCACCGCCTCTCCAGACCAGAGCACAGGTACATGGGCTGTTACTGTAGATGGGAAGAAGCTAGACGGTCACGGTCACAGGTAATGACGCTTTGGCCAGGTTTCCAGAAACTGCACTCGTGTTCGCGCCACTGACTGTATGGTCCGTTGGATACCTACGGCGCGCTGCTGATTGTTTTGCCGCTAAGTGCGAAAGGGACGGCCTATGATAAATAAACCAGCGGCAACGAGTGAGAGTTTGAACTGCCCGACTCCCTCGTGTTGCTGAATTACAGGCAACGCCACAGGTGCCGCACGTATATTATCACAATAGTCACGTACCATGCCCGATGAGCAGCTGCGACTACTCAGCGAACTACACGAGAGAGGGAAGGTGGGCTCGTGGTCGCACAACGTCGTGCAGCCACGTACAACAGGTCGACACAGCGTGATTGTGCAAGGGAACACCTGAAATCGCGGCGACGTGAGTCGCCGCACAGCGATTGCGACACGGTCGCAACGGCTCAGTGGTGTGATGAGCGCAGGTGTCGTAGGCGTGGGGTGTGAGGCGCATCCGAATTTCCAGCGCGTATAAACGCCTAGTCTCGCTATGCTACAGTA